TCCTTTTCACCCTATAGTGATTAAAGACTGGAATGCAAATGCCACGAACAGCCATCTTGCTGGAGGGATGAAGTACCACGATGGAAAACTGACTGTGCCTACCACTGGACGGTACTATATCTACCTACAGATCTACTATCACAGCACTGGAAGGATCCAAGTGAGAGTAAACGGCCGTGTGCGCACAATGATTCAGATCCCTGTCCCAGATAAAGGTATCCACGGTACCCCATACGCAGGAGGGATTTTCAACCTGATTGCTGGTGACGTCATTACGATTTATTCGACCAGAAACAACTGCAAAATTTACATGTCGAGCGTTCACACCTACTTTGGCGCGTATTTGATTGAAGAAAAGATGACAATTGCCCCAAACACCTCATGAATCAAAGGGATAAACCAGATTTAATAACAAATTCAACGTGTTTGAAAAGAGCCTTTCATTCAAAATCATCCTTGGTCATTAACATTGATTCAAAAACTTTTCTTAGCAATGTGGTCAAGTTTACGCCGCTGTAATTGAAACCTTATCAGTCTATAAGGTCTATTAGGCTTGTTTACTTAACTAGAATGCGCTGTTTTGAAGCAGACATTTGTAATGGATATCTTAAGGCTGAAATAAATTAAAGAGTGGTGCTTATAATCTGTGTGGACCATTGAGTAAAAGTAAATCAACCTATTGTAAGTAAATTCATCCAATGTACCAATTAGAAGGCCTGGTTTTCATTTGTCGGGAAAATCGAAGACGATCAGGGATTTTACTGTTTCTCGAAAGTCCCAGATTTTGTCTGCTGTCTGGGATGGCCGGAAACAAATCAGGTAAATCGGGACGCGTCCCAGAATTTCTGCGCTGGTCGGCGCAAACATTACCGACATCGGACATAAAAAGTTTTAAAATTTGTACTGTCCGGGACATCGGGGAACGATGGGTATGTATCAAGTCGTCTATGTTGGTGTGAACAACCGAATCATTACCATGATTCATTTACCTTCAATCACCTACATCTTCAGGTACCATGTACGCAGATGGAATGTTTAACCTCTCAGCCGGTGACTTCATCTTACCTTTCAGGGGCACCCAACGGCAGTTTTCGGAAAATTAAAATATCTGTTCGGAAGACAATTTGAGATCTAGAATTTTCGGAACATTTGTTGTACAGTTTCTTGCTGGCTGCCTCTCCTAGGATTTTCAAACATCTAAAAAATGGTATAATTGCCCATTTTTAACGGATTTTTACCCTGAAAAAGTCACCTAAAATTTTCGGGAGCCTTTTTTCTGGCAGAAATTTTCGAAAAGGTAAGTTTTGATCCCTATAATTTTCGGATCACTAGACTGTCAGCTAGGAAATCCGAACAGATGAAAAATTTTTAGGGGATAAAAATATGCCTATATCTACCATTTAAATATATACTAAAATAAGTTTAACAATACTAGGTTTATGTGATTTTGAACTATATTCTCGTTGGCTGCCCCTGACCTTTCTTTCACCGGTTTAGCTATCACAGCTACATTGGAGCGTAATTAATTTTGAAAGTCAAATAATTGCTGCGTCGCATTTAGGTTGTGATTATACGGAATTAGCGCTATATAAGTGCAGGAAATGTTACTGAGTATCGGGTCGCAGCCTGTGTAGGATACTCCGTGCCATCATTCATTAAGTGTCCAGCAGGCATTTCGCAGAATCCTTCTTGACCCCAGCAAGGTTATTCGTTGTAAAAGTTCCATGAAATACGGTATTCCCAACTGTCTTAGCCGCATTTTAAATCCTTTCGAAACTGTTTCTAGTCAACCAATTAAAATTAGGATGACTTAAACTGAACGAAAGTTTCAAATTCGTTTGATTTCCTATTTCAAGGCAAAGTAATTATCGATCTTCTCTCTTTTCTTGCTAATTATTCTGGTGTCGGATGGGCAGGCAACATCAAACAGGGGCACCCAACGAGAATATAGTTCAAAACCACTTAAACGTAGTATTGTTGAACGTATTTTAGTATTTAAACGGTAGATAAAGGCATATTTTTATCCCCTAAAAATATTTCATCTGTTCGAATTTCCTAGCTGAAAGTCTAGTGGTACGAAAATTATAGGGATCAAAACTTACTTTTTCGAAAATTTCAGCCCGAAAAAAGGCTCCCGAAAATTCTAGGTGACCTTTTTAGGGTAAAAATCCGTTGAAAATGGGCAATTATACCATTTTTGGGGGTTCCAAAATCCTAGGAGAGGCAGGCAACCAAGAAATTTTACAACAAATGTTCCGAAAATTCTAGATCTCAAATCGTCTTCCGAACAGATATTTTCCAAAAATTGTCGTTGGGTGCCCCTGATCAACTATAATGCACCATTTATCTTCCTTATTTAGGAGCACAATATCGGGCTTGTTGTGTTCAATGTGATGGCCTAATTGGATCTTAAAATCCCACGACAGTTTGTACTTCTCAGTATGACAGACTGGATCCGGTTTGTGGTGATACCAGTTTGCGGCAGTGTCCTTTCAAAGCCACATTTCTCGCTGAGAATTATTGATTACTATTATCAACGAAATGCCGTTTAGCTCTGGTGGAAGTTGTACCGACATTACACCAAGCGGAGAGCGAGCCATAGCCAATGTTAAAAGGTCCTTTGGGTTAGTTCTCCTCCTTTAACTTTCCAATACCTTCCTTAAAATCCTTGCTGTTCCCAACAAAGCCGTTTTCTGCAGGAAACCCGTATTAATCGTAATCCCCAGCTTGTCAAGCCATGTATCCAATCTTTTGCTCACTGCACCGAGTGCACCAACCACTACCGGTACCACTTCCACACGTCTAATACCCCATGGATTTTCTAATCTCCCTCTTCAGATCTTGGTATTTTTCAACCTTTTCACTCTCCTTTTCATAGACTCTGTGATCCCATGGTGAAGCAATATNGTCGTTGGGTGCCCCTGATCAACTATAATGCACCATTTATCTTCCTTATTTAGGAGCACAATATCGGGCTTGTTGTGTTCAATGTGATGGCCTAATTGGATCTTAAAATCCCACGACAGTTTGTACTTCTCAGTATGACAGACTGGATCCGGTTTGTGGTGATACCAGTTTGCGGCAGTGTCCTTTCAAAGCCACATTTCTCGCTGAGAATTATTGATTACTATTATCAACGAAATGCCGTTTAGCTCTGGTGGAAGTTGTACCGACATTACACCAAGCGGAGAGCGAGCCATAGCCAATGTTAAAAGGTCCTTTGGGTTAGTTCTCCTCCTTTAACTTTCCAATACCTTCCTTAAAATCCTTGCTGTTCCCAACAAAGCCGTTTTCTGCAGGAAACCCGTATTAATCGTAATCCCCAGCTTGTCAAGCCATGTATCCAATCTTTTGCTCACTGCACCGAGTGCACCAACCACTACCGGTACCACTTCCACACGTCTAATACCCCATGGATTTTCTAATCTCCCTCTTCAGATCTTGGTATTTTTCAACCTTTTCACTCTCCTTTTCATAGACTCTGTGATCCCATGGTGAAGCAATATCCACAATAATTGCCTTGTTACTCTCTTTCTCAACAACAACAACAATGACAGGTCTTCTGGCCTCAATAATATGGTCACACTGGGTGGTCATGTCCCATAATACCTTACATGTACATCTTTCATTTTCCTCTATCCCATCCGGTTAGTGTTCATACCACTTCTCACTTCTGTTCAAGCCATACTTACAGTAATGGGCCAGCTAGCCTGGCAACGTTGTCATGTCTTCTCTTATACTCTTTCTACGCCAAACACTTGCACTCACCAATTATATGATTTAATTATTGTTTCACCATTTTCGCCACACAACCTACAAAGCGGGGAGTCCACGGACTTGTCTATGTTGAACTGAACATAGTAGTTTGTTCTCACTGCCTATTATTATTAAAATTATTATTATTATTATTATTATTATTATTATTTTTATTATTACAGTTTACAGTTTATTATTACAGTTGACAGTTTTTTTTATTAAAATGAAATATTTTTAATTCGAATAAATTTTTCTTAGTTAAATTAACACTTTTTAAGCTAAATTAAGTGCTTTTTAAATCGACAGGAATTGTAAATAGTGTTTTTGAATGAATAGTTTTTTCTTTTTTTAAGCGAATTAATTGTAAATAGGATTTTAATAGTTAGCATTGTTATTATTATTATTATTATTATTATTATTATTATTATTATTATTATTAGAAGAAGAGGCAGTATGCGGAAAAAGTAATGGAGATCGAACAGGGAACGTTCACTCCCCTAGTTTTCAAGACCACAGGTGGAATGGCGGATGAGTATGTTAAGTACCACAGCAGACTTGAGGAGCTGATCACAAATAAAAAGGGAGAAAGTTACTCAAGTGCAATTTCCTGGAAAAGAGCTTAAAGTATCTTTCGCCATCGTACGCTCTGCAATACTATGCTTGAGAGGCTCAAGATCCAGAAGAAGACAGCTAGACTTTGTTGACTCAGAATTTAACACTCTGGACTGCCTGAAAGAGTTATTGACCGCATCTGAGCAGCAAGGAATGTATTTGCGAAATCATTGTTGACACAGTGATTGTTATTTTTATGATTTATAATAATTCTTAATGTTATATAGAGCTTAATTCTTACTTCGAATATTTCTGAAAATTATGTACATATTTTTTTTAAAGTTGGATGAAATTATTATTATTATTATTATTATTATTATTATTATTATCATTATTACTATAAATTAACGTTTCTTTCACTATTGCCAGTCAGGAAAAAGACAATGCCAATATTTGGAATCTTTAGACGGAAAATTTTCTCTCTGTCTGATTGGTAGGCATTACGAATCAAACGATTTTTCTATATAACAGGGCTTGGTGGGTCACTTGATGCGGTGAAAAAAGTTTCGAAATGAAATTGGAGGTTCCTTACGGTCTCCTACTTAGACTAGTAGACATGGGATATTTTGAAAATGTTTTACAAAAGACCAGCCCCTGTTAAAAATCTAAGAATTTGCAAAAATCCAGGCTTTGATTTAATGTACTGCTACACCTGCCACGCGATGTTCACTTGTAAGGAAAAATTTCCATGATAAATTAAGTGAGATTTGTCTCGTAGTCATTATAGGCTACTTGGTCAAAAAAAACTAGGCCTCCAACTATGGTTTACATAAAGAAACGTGGTTTGTTAGCCTCATGTTAAACGGATCAGAGCGAAGCTGAGCTGCGCCGATCATGAAAGTGGACCGTCACGTGTCGGATTGGTTTCTGTGCAACTGTTCGTGGCAGTCTGAAAAAAAAGGTGTTCATTATAAGCAGGAGTATTTTTCATGTGGATATTACAAGCCTTCCGATAGTGTGTATTGCCTAACTCTCGTGCCATTTGCTTGGAACACCAAGGTCAGCGGCAAGTCGCCGGCAAAGAACCTGGGGTCTAGTAACGTCGTTGTTTGGCCGATAGGCCGGGACTGAGGTTGAGGCTGACTCGTTCTCGGTCGCTATTTACGTGCCTTTGGGGTGAGAGGAGATTGGTGTTAGGTTGAGGCGCGCGGGGAATCCCTTCCCATGCCTCTTGCGCGCCCAACCTAACCTCAATCTTCTCTCACTCCTCTCACTTCAAATATACATAACTAGCAACAGGGTAGGAGTCTGGGACTGAGGCGTTCGAAAGCAAAGGGAAGTTGAAGAGAATTATTGATTAACTCGCATGCTTCCACTTCCCGGCCAGCCTTTTTCTTTCTCCTTAGTCATGAATTGCGTGACGAGCAGTATAAAAAGAAATGACTTCGGAATGACTTGGCTTCCAAATGCAACCAGTTCGTGATGCGACCCCTAAATTCCGGGTTGTGAGCACTCAAGAAAAAGGAAGAAAGAAGAAGGTTGAGACCCTTTTTTGATATATCAAAGCGCCTTTCATACTTTTATTTATTAACTATAAATATTTTTGTTGATTTCAGGGAACTTCCTTGATGTTGCTTTTAGACACTGGCGTTCGGACAAAGACGGAAGTCTGCCAGGTAAAAATGTAAAATTCCCTTGTTTGTTCAGAAAGGTACGGAACAGATAAAACTCAAATAAGGCTGGTGAGATTCCATGTTGGAGAATTTGGGTTGATGTCTCTTTTTTAAATTATACTTTTGGGCTCAAAAAAAAAGATTTTTTAAAATCAATTGCTGACTGTGAAAAAAAGTTGATCCCGTAACATGAACGAGATTCGCGTCCTTTGAATACAAATGAAATTGAAAAGGTTGTCATGCTTTGTTGCATAATTGTCAGGGGCACCCAATGAGATTGTAGTACAAAACCACTTAAACATAGCATTGTTAAACGTATTTTAGTATTTTTATCCCCTAAAAATTTTTCATCTGTTGGGATTTCCTAGCTGAAAGTCTAGTGATCCGTAAATTATAGGGATCAAAACTTACCTTTTCGATAATTTCAACCAGAAAAAAGGCTCCCGAAAATTCTAGGTGACCTTTTTAGGGTAAAAATCCGTTAAAAATGGGCAATTATACCATTTTTTAGATCTTCGAAATTCCTAGGAGACCGAGGCAAGAAAGAAATTTTACAACAACTGTTCCGAAAGATCTAGATCTCAAATCGTCTTCCGAACAGATATTTTCCGAAAAATGGCGTTGGGTGCCCCTGAATTGTCAGGAGCAATTCTTCACTCGTTTAAAAAGAATCAAGTAACGTTTCCCAAAATTCTCCGTCTTCTTCTCCAATTTGAATCGCGTTTCACGGTTTCACTGTTCTTATTACGAGAGGACGCTATGCTTCTGACGCGAGAGTACATTCGAGCCCGGTTCCTTGAAATTCATTCAGCAAATTAGCTAGTATTAAAATAGTCCAAATTTTAATTGAGGTTTTCTTGTCTAAGAACACTATTGAGCCTAATTACTTGGCGATGAAGTTATGGTAAAACAAAGAAAAGTAAAATACAAGAATGAGGCCTTCTTAGAGGTGGGGAAGTACGTATGTCTCTGCCATGTCCCTATCGGTATTTTTAATTTGTATTTTGAATGCGTTTTGTGAAGTTGCGCAAAGAAAACAAAAGCGAGTTGTTTGTCTTATAGCTAATCAGTGATGACTTTACTATCCCGCTTTCGCGAATGGCTTCGAAAGATCAACGACATAAGTAACTGATAGTAATAAAACATTTTAATACCTGGTTCATTAATAACGTATTCAGTGTAATTTCACGATCCCTTCTAAACCCCAAATTACATCACAAAGTGAAAATTCTAATTTAATTCTCAACAGGAAAGAAACTTGTCGCGTTTCAATGTAAATAAAGTCTGTCGATTCAGCTTTTTATTCCCGTCGCAGAAAAATTTCGGGATCCCAACATTCAATTGATTTTAACTAGTGTCTCGAAGGTTTCCTCAGTTATTAGAGGAGTTCATTTTCGTACGAGTTTCAAGCGCTTTGTAGCCAGCGAAGTTGGACCGCACTGGACAGTAATTAAAGTGCGTCTTTGACTTGACATGTCTATTCTCTAATAAGGAACAATAAGACCAGTTGTATGCGAAAAATGAGAAACGTTTTGCAGAAGCAAACTCAAGAAGTCCGGAGTAGTTTTAACTTCGAGCTTCCTCTGAACGGTCCAGCGAAAAAAATTCATAACCAAAACAACTTCTTTTTCAGCCGGAAAGGAAAAAAAAATATAAAATATATATAAACTTAAATAACTATGAATTAGGAACTAAGTAAACTTCCATTTATGGTAATTTTCAACAAATAAAATTAACTTACAAAAATTGTCTTCCTTTTCTGACGTTTTCTTTTTGCAGAGGTTAGGTTCGAAAATCAACAAATCCTAGCGATTTCTTGACTTTTTTCACAATGCCGAACTAACTTCATTTTAAGCCCTAGTTTATTAGCTCGCTATTGATTTAAGAGCTCATTGATAAAATAGTTGGTAC